TGCGCGCGCACGTGCGTGCGTGCATGCGTGCACACACCCACACCCACACCTCTATGTTTTACCTATGGCTAAGACACAGCAGAGCATCTAGATGGCCTATGGTCACATTAATTCTTTTTCTGTGCATAATGCCATGCTTACTATACCTAATAAATATTGTTTTTACTGTCTCAGAGAATGCCCTTTGTATCAATTGTCCTAAGATTCTAATTGCTTCCCAAATGCACAACTACTGCAAAACAGTCTGTCTTTTGAGGGATTAAAATCATCCATATACGCTTCTAGACCTGACATTTATTCCTTAGGACTGACTACTGTGGGAGACATGGTTTAAAGATTGGATCCAATACATTTCATGCCTGTGAGACAGCTAGGGGAACATAAAACTGACAAAAGCTGCATCAAAAACTACAAATTAACTTTTAAGAATGCTCAGAAGCAGCTACCATCTCATCTCTCAAAAGCAACAGGGAGAAAAACAGCTAGCTGAAAACTTTAGCTATCAAGCTACACTGCTAATTAATTTTATGGGTAATATCGAAGACCAAAGGAACAAAAGCACGTAGTTAAACAACATTCTTCTTGAACCTGGTCCACTTCAAGTGTGATGCACTGCAACTCCTATCAACTCCAGCCAGCAGGCTCATTAGTAGGTTCTTGGGCAATACAAATGCAGAATGGGTGAGAAAAGAGAAAGTGGCCAAGTAGGGAAATTTAGGGTGTTGTTGCTTGAAAAAAAGCAGCTTTTCCAAGTTAGGCTTGGACTAGCCTTGCTCTGAGTTCACCCTCAAGGAAGGGCTGCATGCACAGAACATAAATGCAAAATCAAAGCCCTAAGATGCTAACTTAAGAGTTACTGGCTTATTTCAGGCATCACTTTGAACTGTGATCTGTGCTAAAAGTAATTTAGACTCAAACAACAGTCTGAGTTTCAAACAAGCAGCAAACAAACTACAGTGTAGGGGTGTTTAGCTTTTCTAAGCTTGGGCTGGTCTTGTTCTGAGTTCAGCATCAAAGGCTTGCATGCAGTCCATAAATTCAAAACCAAAACCTGAAGGGTCTAACATAAGAGTTTTTGACTCATTTCAGAAATCATCCTGAACCAGGGTTTGTGCTTTATGTTTAAGAAATCCTCGGCAGGCTGAACACTGCAGCAAATGGTAAATATTTTTAAAAAAATATTCCTCTTTGAATCCAGGATGATTATAAGCACTCTAAGGATGAGTGACAAGCAAGACACCTCTTGTCCACACAGTGTGATGGCATTCATTCCTGGCATTTCCAGTGGAAGCAAAGCTGAGTGCTTGTGGATAACATGCACAAGGAAGGAGAAAAGCAGGCTTGCTTATCTAACACACACAAAAGCAACTCTCTGTGGCTGTGGCATGATAACAACTTCAATGAGGGTAATTAAGGTGCCAGAGAAGGAAATGCTATTAAGGAAGGCATCCAGCAGTGTCGCTAACTGTGTTCTCCAAGCGTGCTTTGTTGTGCACAGGGGCATCCACAATCCTCTGACCTAATTAGGCTCAATCTGAGAGCAATAATTGGTTTGTAGGAGGAACAATAATAGGAGTGGGTTGGTTGTCCTGTGAAAGATCCACAGGACACACAGTGGAGCCGTCCTCCTCAACGCCTGGAATATGGTTACACCATGTTGTAGCCACCATATCACTCAAAGAAGGCAGGCCTAGCACTGCTGCTCTACTTTCACATTTGGAGCTCAAACAAGCTGGATCACATCCTTGTCTCCGGGCGCAGATAGCAGCAAAGTGGCTTCCAACAGGATGGTGGTCACCCAAACTCCCAAGGCAGCCTGCCTTGTTTGGTGCAGATGTCTCTCCTCAGCATAATGCTCATCATCATCCCTGACCAGCTAGGGCTGATGGGAGCTGGAGCCCAAAAACAGCTGAAGGGCCACAGATCCTTTGCCAGTTTCCAAGAGCATAGCTCTGGCATGGCATCGTTTAAAAATAGCTACAATGGTTTGCTGAGAGAACCTTCTTGGTATTCCAGTTTGTGCAAAGTTGTTTAATGCCAGGTTCAGCACCTCCCTGTCCAGTTAGGCGAGTCCCCAAACCTTCTGCTGCACCGGATGTTCCCATGCACCCTCCTTTTGGTATTGAATGCCACATGCCATTTTTTACTAGGTTGTCTTGCTGTCAAACATAAACTTGACCACATATTCTATGCATTAAAGCACTGTCTGGTTACAAGAGAGACAGTCCTCTGAGGAGAACCAGAAGCAGCAAATTGGGGGCAAGGGAGTGGGGGTGGGGATCGGGGGGGGCTATAAAATAAGACGGAAGAACTGAAGCAAAGCTAAGGCCTAACACAGCAGTTACAGGGCAAGTTAGCAACTCTTTCCTTTGGATGGATAAATCACCCTATGCAGTTTGAAGGAGGTGTTCTTTTCAACAGCCAAATGTCAATGGAAGGAAACGCAAGGTCTCTAGAGGTGCAAGATGGGAATCTTCTACTCAACTGCAATTAATCCCACCACTCAACCCCCTTGTCCCCCAGCCTAAACAGCACACGTTCCAGTGCTGCATTCTGGTGAATTATTTAGCATCCCCTCCAGCTTTACTTCTCTTTGCACCCCCTCCCCTCCTTGCCCAGCAAAGCAATGGCTACCCTCAGGCTGCAGAGGAATGGGGAGCATTCTTGCCTCTGTGTGTGTGTGTGTGTGTGTGTGTGTGTGTGTGTGTGTGTGTGTGTGTGTGAGAGAGAGAGAGAGAGAGAGAGAGAGAGAATGATCAGCTCCTGTTCCAGTTGAGCTCCCATTCCTACCCTCCCTTCATGCCTTTATTCTGGATAATTCAGAACCTCACCATGCAGAGATGAAAGGCATACACACAGTGCCTCAGCTGCTCTGCC